TCCTTTGATGGGAAGCCTGACTGTTCATCATGCAGCCGTGGTTTTACTGCGCAAACTCTGTTCTTCAGTCGGATGAAGTAACTTTCGCATGTCCATACTGAGATACTCCTCAAGACAGGCAGCCCTGCCCCAGACTCCTCAGAGGATGCAGTCACTCAGATTGGATTTATAGTGGCTAACATCCCATTTAAGCAGTCAGTGCATTTTGGCTGAGTGCCTACTCTGTCCTGGGCTCTGTGTTGGGGACTAAGGATAGAGAAATAAGCCAAACTTAGTTTTTCCTTTTAAGGAGCTCACATTTTACTGGGGTAGACAGGCAATTACAACCAATGGGATCAGTACTTTGAGAGCACTCTATCAAGTGAGGTTCTTGGTTGTACCTGCCACAATCTACCCAGGATAAAGTAGAAGGAGAAGAGAATCAGGCTCAGAGCTACAGAGCTGAAGGTCAGAAACAATGCAGACAAAATGCCCAACCAGTTTTCTAATGGAAACATCACCACCCTGCCACCTGTTGCTTGGCACCTAAGTGAGGTCTTGGCTATTATGGACTCTTCCATGGGTGCCCCTGGAGCACCTGGACACCTCCATCAGAGCGGCTTTCCCGGTGACTTTCTCTACCTGCATGCGGCCATCAGTGCTCACTATGCACTTCAGGGCACCTTCTTGATGAACCCCAGGTCACACGTGATACCCAAGCTATAGTGGAATGTGGGAAATGTTTTCTAGCATCTATAACACAGGAAGGCAATCTAGAAGGGGTTGGACCACTGGGTGTGTGTATCTGGAATTCAGGAAAGATATATGGACCAGTGAGCTGGGCCAGATCACGATCATGAGAATTTGCCTGAGTACAAACAGTGGTGAGAATGGTGACCCAGACCAGGTTCAAGGGTCCTTTCACTCTGATTCACCACTGAAACAGCAAACTAACTAGTAAGAGATGCAGCTGAAAGTGTGAAGGAAGCTCCCTGATGTCTCCCTAACTCCACATACAGGTGCACTTGAAGCCTTATGGTCAAAGAGAGGAGTAAGAAATGCTCCAGGGTAGGGGAACCCTGGGTGCCCACTGTCTATTGTTGTACTGGGCCAGAACTCAGCACTCAGGGGACACTTACTGTCATGAAGGGAATTCCTTCAATGGTAAATCCAAACTTCTATTTTGATATGGAGACATTCTATACAATGAAATACTATTATGTCCTGCATTATAAATGTTGACCAAGAGGTTGCACACTTTGGGAGTTAGGGGAAATGTACTTATCAACACTTCAAGAAGACTGAATCAGGAGAAGGGGAAATCATCACAGAATCAAGACACAGTGTAAATCTCAAGCATGATGAATACAAAGAAAAGTATAACCTAATCACACAGTTGTTAATCACACTGTGATAAACAACGAAGGTAAAATCTTAAAAGCAGCCAGAGAAAGAGATGCATTGCTTCCAAAGGAGTAATAACAAGTAATAATGGTGCCCTTTGCTTCATGTATGGACCTGTCCGAGTATGTCCTCAGAGAACAATCTGGCTGCATTATCTCTGCACAGATTTCCTTCACACACAGCCCCCTAGGAGGTGGGGAGGCCTCCTGTATCCTGAGGCCTCCAGGGGACTCACCATTCCAGTTTACAGACAGGAAAACTGAGACTAGTGAGGAATCCCAGTGAAGGGCCGGCCAGCAGAGAAGGGCAAGCCCTGGAGGAAAGCAAAGAGCTGAGGGGCAGGGACTCCAGTGGGAGGTGGCAACTCCTCTGTCGTGTCAGGAGAGAGAAGCCCCTGGGAATTTCTGTCGGGCAGAAAGCCTTCTCTGACGTCCTTGATCTTCCCTACCCTAGGCACGCTGCCTACTTTTGCCACCTTCCCCTTAGTCCCTCGTCCTGCAACTCTCCCTTCCCTCCCCAGCCCTGTCCAGAGCCTAGCAGGGGGGACAGTGGTTGCCCTGCTTCCCAGGTGGCCACTGGCCCTTCACCCCCCGCCCCCAGGAGGCTGCAGCTGTGGCAGTGAACGCAGCCTCTCCCCGCCATCCTCTCCAGGCACGCCCCGGCCTTGTTGGGCCCCCTCATGCCATCCTTGGCTCTCTTCCCCTCCCCTTCCCCAGGCCCCACCTCCCTGTCACAAGCAGATTGAGCCCTGGGAGGCTGAGCCCTGAGGGCAGGCTGAGGCCTGGAGCCTAGCCCCTGCCCCTCCCCACTGCCCAGCATGCTTTCCTGGTCCACGCGCAATGGCCTCACCTCCCATCCCGGTCCTCTGCATCCAAACTACAAGACCCCCTGGGCCCCCGCCTCCTCCTGATGCCCCTTCACGCTGGGCTTGCTGCTGCGCTGACCCTCCTGCTTCATCAGCATGGGGCCAAGCCTTGCAGCACTGTCTCCTAGCTATTTCATGCCCAGAGGAGGGGGTTCAGCCCACACTGCCTTCCCAGGCATCCTTCTGCAGGAAGGGAGGCAGACATCCAAGGGGACAGGGTTTTATTCATGTAAAACCAATGGACCTCAGTCCTGCCCAGAGAGGAGCTGAAGGGGCTACAGGCCCCTGAGAAATGTTTCTTATTTTCCTTGTGGGGTCTGTAAAGAGCATGCCCCGTGCAGACAGTGGAGTCTGCGTGAAGTGTGTGTGTCAGAGAGTGAGCATGCAAGTCGGAGTATGCACGTGTCTGTGTGAGAACGTGTATGTGCCTGAGTACGAGAGGGATGTAGAGGAGTGGACAGGAGCGGGTTAGCCCCTCGGTGCCCCGCCCCTCTCACCCGCAGCCTCAGACCTCTGGGGCAGTGAGGACAGCAAGGGTCAGGCACCACTCGGTGGCCATGAGCTACACTACAAGCCACAGTCCTTCACCCCTTTTCACATGCCCCTCCTACGGCCCGCCCCTCAACACAGGTACTCAGAGTGGATCCCCGGTTTCTTTCCCAAACCAGTGGCTAACTCTCCCTACCTACCACGACAATCCTGCAGAGACAGAGACCCTGCCCCCCTAAACATTTATCCCAGATAAAGGGCCCTCGGAGGGGAGTCAGGCAGGTGGGGTTCTCACCCCAACCTTGAGGGATTACTTAGCTCCCCTGAAGCTCAAGCTACAGAATGAGATAATGGTATCTTCTCCATGGAGTCCATGTGAGGTTTTATGTAAAATGAAATCAAGTTCTGAGGACAGGGCAGCTACAAGAAGCCAGGGCCAAGCCTTGTGACAAGCCAACCCAGAGTCCCCGGAGTCCCTCCCCCACCCAGGCCCTGCCCAACTTCTCCCCTGGAGGCCCTTTCTCTGCTCTCCAGAAGGATCTTTCTAAAATGCATGTCCAAGCCACTCCCCTACTGAAAACTTTCCCTGGCTCCCCACTGCCCACAAAATACAGCCAAACTCCCTGGCATTAAGGCTTCCCGCTCTGGCCACGTCCTTCCCACTCCCCCTGCCACGCCACCCCTGGCCCCATGCCCCCGGCTCCTCATTCCCTGTCAGTCACTCCTCTCTGGCCCTGTATAAGCAGTTCTTTCTACACAGAGTGCCTTTCCCCTTTTGCCTTCAGGAAAACAACACCTGCTCCTCTCCTAAACCTCCCTGTTGTTCTTAGGGTCATGATCCTGCCTGGATGCCTGGATCCCAAGACCAAGCATCCCACAGGGTTGTTGTGTCCTGTGTATGAGTTTGGGTCTGTTTCCCTCACCAGGCTATTAAGATTCTCCAGACCAGGGACAAAGACAGAGTTGGCTCTGGGCCTCAGCACAAGGTCCTGCATGCACAAAGAAATATTTCTGAGTTGTTCATTCAATGTGGTGGCAAGGAGGGACTTGTCACAGCATGGGCCTCAAACAGGATTAAATGTCCTCAAGGGAGGGTTGGGCTGGGGACAGACAAATGTGGGAGATGGGAGTAGGCTCCTGATGTGTGTACCCAGGTAGTTCTTGCTCTTTGTCCAAAGGCTTGTGGAAGAGGGACACACACATACATTCAGGGTCATTGGGGGCTCAAGGTGGGGGGATCAAAGCCCCTAGATCAGCCCATACTGGCACTGATGTCAGCTGGGTACCATCAGAATGGCCATCCCCTGTCAACCTTGGGCCAGGGACTGACCCACTGCCTGGGGGCTGCTGGTCAGCCTAGGTCCATGCTGTGAGAGGACAGAGGGGGCACCCAAAGCAGGGATTGGGCAGGGGAGGGGCCTGGACTTCACAGGCCCAAGAGAAGGCTAGAGGACCTGAGACTATCAGCCCAGGGGATCAGATTCTAAACCATGACAAGCTGTGGGGTGGGAGAAGTAGACAGGCTCTGTGGTCCCCAAAGCAAGGCTGGCACCCCAGGGGCATGGCCCTGTCCCTCTCCTCCCAGCCCTGCCTGCCTCCCTCCCCTAGGAAAGGAGATCCCAGTGCCCAACCCTTAACTCATCAACCTCTACTGATCTGGAAGAGATGAACAGGGAGAGGGGACAGGAGAGGAGCAGGCAAGTGAGCGGACAGAGTCTGGAAATGTTGCCAGTCAGAGCCTCCATGTGGCCCCAGTCTGAAGTCTGCCCCTCCTGGCCTGCATAGAGGTAAACACTCTCACAGCCAGGAGAGCAGAGAACCAGCTCCACAGACACAACCCAGGGCTGCATCTGGTACAGTCAGACTCAGGGCTGCCCTTTTGGCAGGACTTATGGGGACACAGACAGGTGTCCTTGAGGCCAGGAGGCCTTGAGGCCCAGGGCTTGGCTGTTCTCCCAGGAAGCCTCCTTGATTGCTTCAGCTCCTCGTCTCCCTTGCCGGTCCACAGCCTCTGCTAGCCAACATGTCTACCTGCTGCTCCATGCCCAGGCCTCCCCATCGGCCATCTGCCCGTAAGCTGTGACCACCTGGCACAGGACTGACCCAGGGATACCCCAACAGGCCTATGACTCCCCCAGAAGAGGGGCTATGCACCAGGATGGGGGCTCCAGTAGCCAGGGGGTTCTAAGGGCATTTGCCTCCCCCAATTCTGTTTCCCTCAAACCCCATGAACAAAGTCTGCAAACAGCCCGATGGGGAAGGGTTGGTAGAAAGAAATAGATTTATTCTCATGTACAAAGCGGTCAGCCCACAGGACCATATACAACAGGTACACAGAGTCCTAAAAAAACACATCTCTCTAAAGGCAACTCAGAATAGGTAAGGCAGGTGGCCCCCCTCCCTCCACCCCACAACACATACAGAACAAAACAGGTAAGGGAACTGGTCTGACTCAAGAAGCCCAGCCCTGTGGGGTCTCCCAAGCCCTGGGGCATGGGTAGATATGGCCTTAAAGAAGGGAGAAGCCCTGCCAGGGCGGAGGCCAGGTCCTTCTCTGGCTGCAGGAACGGGGAGGGGCTCAGGCTATGGGAGTACACTCAGGGGACTACTGAGGGACTGGGGGTTGGCTCTCAGCCCTAAGGTGGCAGGGACATTCCATGGCCTCTCCCAGGGCTCCACAGAGCTAGGACACTTTAATCTAAGAGGGGTCTTAGAGAATGAACTGTCTCTCCCTCCTGTGTCACCCAGATAGGAGAAGGGACTTGCTCAGGGCCACACAGCCAGGAGGAAGCATTGTTGACTCAACTGGAGCTTGTCTCCCAGCCCAGGGAGCCTCCCCACCCACCATTCCCTCCTGCTCTCTTCCTGAGCCCTGTCTCCCACTGAACCACCCCTCTGGCAGCTCCCTTGTGGGGCTGCCCCAAAGCCCACCGTGAGTACAGTGGTGGTCCTCAGGGGCACCTTCGGCCCTATGGCTATTTCTAGTCCTCCAGCAGAGCTCACGACTGTTTCTAAGACCTACCCTCTGCTCACTGAGATGTTCCACTGTCTCCTTGAGTGAGGATCCTAGAGGGAGGAAAAGGGCATGTATCTGATGGGGTAGGGCCCAGGAGAAAGCAGCTCGGCTGCTTCAGAGAAGGACTGGCTCGGGGAGGACTGGCCAAAGTGCGGTCGGAGGTGCAGAGCAGGCCTACTGCTCAGTGGTCACCCTGTGTTCTCAGAGGACAAATGACTAAGTCTTGGTGAGGCTGGAAGCCTTGCTTCCATTATACAGACAAGAAGGGAGGTCCAGAGGTCAGCACTTGCCCAGGATCACACAGGATGTTCCGGTCTAGAATCCAGAACCCGTGGCTCTGGTCCTAGGGCATCGGGCCAGACCAGTGGAGGGTTGTGGGAGGAGGCCTGGGTGGGGAAGGGTCCTAGAAGGGGCTCACTCAGCATCAAGGCTGCAACAGCCATTGATGGGGGCCCCCGTGCCATCTAACTCAGGCACCTCGTACTCCTCATCCAGGAAGTCCAGCGAGTTGTTGCTTGGGAGGCCGCGGATGGTAAACTTGTGGGATACCTTGGTCCAGTGCTCACGGTTAGAGGCCACACGTTCATACAGCTCTGCTGCCTTGGGGAACAGGTCCTGCAACAGCCTGGGGGTGCATGGGGCAGAAGTCGCAGCAAGAAAGATTAAGGCTGTACCACAGGTAGAACTTTCACAAGAGTGCCTGGCATAGGACTGAATGATCAAGGAGAGCATAATGGCCTCTTTCCATGGAGGACTGAGGGTGAAGTGAAGGGCCTATCTAGGGGCAAAGCAGACCACTATGCCCAGAGGTGGGGGGGCATCAGCTAGAGCTGGGCCTGGACAGCCTAGCACCTATGTCTGCTGTGAGGGCCGCAGCCAGCCCCATCCCAGCCTACAGCCCCTTCTCTGTGCTGGTCCCCAGCAGTCCCCCTCAGCTCTCTCACTTGTAAATGGGCATTGCAATGTGCTCCATGAAGCTGATCTGCAGCTCGGGGATGTAGGCCTTCTCACGGTCCATCATCTCCATCGGCCTGTTGCCCATGGCCTTCTCCTGGGGGGATCAAGTCATCAGGCACCAGGGCCAGGCTGACCCGCCTCCTCCCAGACCCGAACAGGAGCCCTCTCCCAGCCAGGACCCCTGAGGTCACTTCCCACATACCAAGTCTCCTTGGGAGAAGAATTCTTTGTAGATCAGCTCCTGGAAGGCCAACAATCTCATCACATCTTGTGAGCAGGCTCTACCCACTGAGATCCTCTACAGTTCATTCCCAAAGGGGCAAACTGAGGCATCCCTCGGCCCACTGGAGAGCCATCCTCACCACCCCAAGCCTGGCAAGGGGCTGGCCCACCTTCCACCAGCCACTGACTTGCTGTGTGACCCCCAGGAGTCCATGCCCCTCTCTGAATCTCCCCATCTGTTGCTCTGAAGTGGTCTAGGTTTCTGTCTCCCCAAAATATAGCCAGGCTGAACTCAGCATAGAGTGGTGTGCAGGCTGCAGGAGCCACCTGCAGACAGGTGTGCAGCCCGCGCCTTCCCAGGGAAGGACGGCACTTACTGCGATCTTCCTTGTTGTCTTCCAGCCCTTGGTCTGGTCTGAGAGGTCACAGGAGGTCATGAGGAGGCAGAGGAGGAGGCTGTGGTGGTGCCTGTTGGTTTTGTCGTAGCCCACTGTTGGGGAGAGGATGGGGTCAAGGGCCCCCAAAGTGGTCCAGGGATTCCAGCACTCTGGATGGGAGCCAAGGGGCCAGGACTGGGTCTGCCTGGTAGGTAGTTGCTGGAGGGGTAGACCTAAACCCCTCGAATGCTCTGTGGGCAAATCCTCCTTTTAGAGGCCCCTCCTCAATCGCAAGGCCTGGGGCTCCAGGCAGGCACCTTCAGCCATCTTCTGGAGGTCCTTAAAGATGCGGAGGTGGTGGGCCAGGTCTGTGGCCAAGATGATGTCCCTCATCAGGTCCAGCATGCGCTGATAGTCCTGAGCCATGCAGGGCAGAAGGGGGAAGCTCAAGGCCTCCTGCCAGACCCCCTTACCCACTGCCCTGGCCCTGAGGAGCCTCCATCCCTCAACTCCCTCTCCTGTTCCAGGTTAGCTCCCGCCTTCCACTCTCTCACCCCCAACCCCGCCCCATCACCTTCCGGGAGAAGTGATCGAAGATGTTGCAACCATGTGTGTTGAGGATGGCGATGGCCTGAGCGAAGTGGTGCCTCTGTGGGGAGAGGAGAGGTGGGCGGGCAGCCAGGGCCCGAGCTCCCTCGCCATGGACCCCCAAAGGGAGCACAGCAGGCAAAACTGGTGAGCCAGCGGGTCCAGCTCCTTTTCTGGGCTGGGTTGACTCTGGGTGAGCCTGAGCAAGTCTCTGGCAGGCTCAGAGCCTCAGGTTCCTCAGCCGTCCCATGGAGGGACACCACCAGGTAAGCTCTGAGTGCCACTCAAGCTGGAACAATCCTGAAATGATCCTCTGGAGTCCTAGACACTAATTCATGCGGCAAACATTCGTGTGCTGACAAGGAAAGGCAGTGATGAGGCGAGAGCAAGGCCCCTGTCTCCTGACATGGAAGGGCTGTCGCTTGGAGGAGGCGCAGGCTTAGCCCAGGGCACGCAGGGCAGAAGCAGGGCAGCCATGAGGCCCTCTGGGAGGGAGCGAGCCTCTCGTCTCTAGGGTTGTGCAAGCCAGGGCTGGTGTGGAGAAGGTGACCTTGGCAGTGTGCCTCCTATTCCATGCCAAGCCCTGTGCCAAGCGCAGGGAACTCATAGGTGTCTCAGATTTTGTCCCTGCCCAAGAAGCTCCCGTCCGGGGGCAGGTGGACCCAAACCAAAGAATCTGAGGTAGAGCTGAGTGCGAACGGGGTGCAGCCCATCCCAGGCTTGGGGGAGAGTGGCTGCACATGGTGTTCCCAAACGTGCAAAGAGAAATGTGCTAAATACAAGTTCTCCCTTCGCAAACCTAGGCTTGGACAGAACCCACAGGGATATTGGGCAGGATGGCGGTACCTCCATGACGGAGCCCTCAGAGCTGTAGAGCGCGGCCAGCACAGATTTCTGGAAAAGCCCGGGAGAACTCCATCACTCCTCACACCCAGGGGCGAGAGCCTGCCCCGTGAGGCTGAGCACTGCCCTGCTCCCCACTTCCCCCTGCTCTCACCACCCTGCTCCTGCACCTCAGAGCCCAGCACAAAGCCGGGGAGGGCCTCCTCCTGTCTCTAAACTGGCTCCTGTCTTACCAGCCCCCACCCTCACCCTGGGGAGGGTGCCCACTGTGAGGAGGGCAGGGTCTCACCGAGGCCACCTGGAAGGAGTTGTTCGTGCCTCTGTGGTCCAGGTCATGACACATGCAGGAAACAAACAAGGCAAAAATCTCGATGTCCCTGGTTGGCAGAGAGGAGAGGAGGTTCAGCTGTAGCTCCTTCCCCACAACGCCAGAGGTGGGAGGGCTGGATGTGATGTGCGAGAGCCACCAAGATAGGAGCTTGGGACACCTGTGTCCCCTTCCTCGAAATAAGCCCTGGTCTGGAGTTTGGCAGGCTCATCACTCCCTGGGTATGTGACTGGGCGAGTCCCACCTGGAACCTTCTCATTGGACTGTTAAGAGGGTCCCACAAAGAGGTGCATGTAAAGTGCCTGCCACAAAGGACATGTTGCTCTGTCCCAGCAAAAAGGACCCCAGTGACTGCCAGACAGGGGGCAAGTGTAGCCACTTACTCGAGGTAGTTGGTGAGCTCCAGGTTCTTGTAGAGCAGGTAGCAGAAGTGAGAGACAGAGAAGGCGTGCATCCAGTTGTGGTAGGGGGGATCCCGGTAGCCCTTCTTCACCATTAAACAGAACCTGGGGGAGGGGAGAGGGTAGCAGAGGGGCCGCAGGCTCTCCTCCTCCAGGAACCCCTTCGGGCTCTGCCCTGCACCATTTCTTTCCTTCACTCCTGGTCCCAGGCCTGGAAATTACCTCTCACTCACAGATCCTTCCCACCCTCACAAGACTGGGCCTCCCCTAGTTGGCCTCAGAGGCCTCTTCCCAGAATGCTGGGGGCAATGGATGTGGCTAGAGAGGGCAGACGGAGGCAAAGACTGGGGCTGCCTGCATGTGGAGGGGAGGGCTGGGGGCACTCACCGGGCCAGGGTTGAGCAGTCAATTTTGTAGTTATTGATGAAATTCATGTCTTGCAGCATGCTCAGGATGGCCTGGGGAGAGCAGAAGGAAGGGATCAGAGGGATTGTCAGTTTCAAGATGGGGCCACTGCCTTGGCCTATCTTGAAGCCTCCAAAATTTTAGTCTTGGAACTTTAGATCTAAACTAGAGAACCATACAAGGGTAGAGCCAAGCATTCTCAGAGCCATGAAGAACTCTTGAAACTGAGCTCACACAAACTCTTAGAAAAACAGGAAGGGAGGTGCCAGCCCTGAGGCCACTTGCCCTAGGCATCACTGGAGCAGCCCCTGCGATCATCAGTCATCCAGTCTTGCCCCTGGCCTCTCAGCAGGCCCTGTGGCCCATGCCCATGGACCACATCCATCACTGGAAGACTCTGTAGCCTTTTCTGATGACTCTCTTGCCAGGAAGTACCTATGCACATCTAACTTAAATCTCCAGCTGCACACCCTTCACCTCTGCAGTCACATGGGGGAGGGCCAGCTCACCATGGAAGTGTCATCCTCAGGCAGAGAGCGAGGGGTGTAGGTGAAACTGGCAAAGTTGGTGTCAATGGCAGCCACAGGCTGGATCCCATCATAGAGGAGTTTGGTGTATTCATCATCAGAAACCTAGAGAGGGCCACCAGGGCACTAGAAGATAGCTCACCCAGATCCAGTGGTCTCAGCCTCAAATTCCCACAGCAGGAAGCTGGTCCCCACCCCAAATTCACCCCAGTTGGGCTGTCTACTCCATGGATTGTCGCTGGGCAGGAGATCACCACCCTCCCTTCACCATCTTGCAGTCCAACTATTGTACCTCCTTGCCTGTGCCCACCCTCATCTGTAACAGCCTACCCTCAGCAATGACAGAGAACACCCCTTTGTGGCACCCCCAAATCATGGCAGACTTCCATAGATACTAATGCAAAGATTTCTTTTTTGGGGGGATGCATCCCAGAGTCTAACCTCAGTCCTTCTTGCTACAGCTTTGACCTTATCCACAAAGTCTGGGGCCCTTTGGTCTGCACACAGGTGAGAGGAAATAGTCAAATGAACAACGCCAGCACATACTCTGAACTAAAGCCTGGGATAGCCTTTCTGATACAGGGTCTGGGAAGGGGATGGAATATCAGCAGTGTGCTCAGGACTCTATGGCCACTGTACCTAGGGGAGCTGTGAGAAGGGCCCAGAGCAGGCTTCCCAGCCTTCAGTAATTCCCAAGATGGGAATTATCCCTGCACATGGGGAACAAGTGGCTATACCATGGTCTTCCCTTGGCTGAGTCGGGCTGGCAGCCTCGGTGCTGAACCAGAAACTGCTTAGAAGAAAACTGCCTGAAGGAGAACAGGACAGCAGAAGGCCAGACATTGCTCTGGGTCTACCTTCTCATCTTGAAGAGGGCATGGGACACTGGGACCCTGAGAAGGGGAACAGAAGCTCCATGCAGGCCTCACCTTCATGTGGTACATCATCATCTCGTTGGCTAGGTGGCTGCGATACTGGGCCTCATTCACTTTTTTGTACAGGAGGGACTAGGGGGAAAGAGGGGGAAAAAATGGGGCTCAAGTGAGGTGCACTCTTAGAATGCCTGGGGTCCAAAATCCATTGGCACCAAAGCGTCAGACAGAGGCTCTGTTCCTGTTCTGTGCTGGATCCTGCCTGAGCCTCCAAGCTCCAGCCCAGAATACGGAGCCCCTCCAGTTCTCATGAAACTTCCCCTGCTCCTCCTCCCCAGCTCCTTTCAGCATTTGATTGGGCACTTTGCCCCCCCTCCCGAGCCTTCAATGGTGAAGTCCAAGGCCCATGGCAGAGAGAAGCAAGAAGGGGGTATAGCTAGGGACCAAGGGGTTGGATTCCCAGGCCAGAGCCACCAGCACTAGAAAATGAGACCCAACATTTCCCAAAGAGAAGCTGACCAGTGGCTTGGGACCAGTGGCTTCCAGGTGGTGGGGAGAAATAATGACAGCTGAGGTTTCCTATGATCCTGGGAGGCTAACTGGCCAGGACAGGAAGTGGTATCCCCAATATTCCGATGAGAAACTAAGTCCAGAGATGACCAGCAGGTACTGAAGGTTGCACAGCAACCCAGCAGCAGGGTTCTGAATCTTGGCAGAAGCACAGACTTGTCTGGATAGAGTAAGGAGAGTCAAGGCGGAGAAGAGAACAGGGGGTCCTGCACCGGCCCGCCCGGTCCCTGCTCACATGGGCAATGCTGATGCCACAGTAGATGGAGAAAGCTGTCGCCAGGTCCTCGTCGAACTTGCTGAACCAAGGCCCATTGATCTTGTTCACCAGCTCTGCCACACCGATGACCTCTGGGAATCCGAGAGGGGTTAGGACCAGTGGGTGGATGTGTCTGGGAGGGTTTGGCCCTCCCAGAGTGTCCCATGCCTGGAAACCCCTTCCCTTCTTCTCCAGGATTCTAGGGCGGTGGGGGAAGGGTGGCCGACCCTCCGCTTGGCTCCGCCCCATCCTGTTCAGGCCCCGCCCTATGTTGGCCCCGCCCCTCCTCCGAGCCGCCAGGAGCCCGCACCCTGGTTCTCATTCTTGATGGGGAAGCAGAGGATGTTGCGCGTGCGGAAGCCAGTGCTGTCGTCCACACCGCGGTAGAAAAGCGGGTGCGCGTACGCATCAGGGATGTTCAAGATCTGGCCGGTGGTTGCCACGTGGCCCGCGATGCCCTGGTCAGCCGGGATGCGGATCTCATAGCTCTTCAGGACAAGGATGGAGTAGGGAGGAAGAAGTTGGTTGGTGGCCAGGGAGGACCAATGACTGTCACCCTGCTCCCAGGCCCCCTACAGACTCCTGGCCCACAGGACCACGGCCACACATTCCTACCATGGGGCCCTGCCTCACCTCATCATCCACCACGCCCCCATCAAACACCTTGGCCACCAGCTCATTCTGATCCAGCAGGAACACAGAGCAGCTGTGGGAGACAGCCTTGGTCAACAGGGCCCTGATACCCCTGTCCAACCACCCCCACTTCTCACGGCTTGAGGGAAAGCCCGATTTCTGAGGCCTGGAAGGAGTGACCTGTGGTGAAATCACTTAGGGCTGGCTGACTGCAGAGATTAGTCCAGCCCTGGGATTTCTCTTTTTTTTTGTGTGTGGTGCCTACTGTGTGCCAGGCAATGCGTTGGGAGATGAGGACGCACAGGCAGCAAAGTGAGCCCTGCCCGAGGGACATAGTCATTAAATAGAGGATCACAGAAAATGTGCCAGGGTCCCACAGGCAGGCAGTGGAGGTGCGGAATGAGCGGGGGGAAGAGAGGAGGAAGCCTCTTCACTCACATCTCAGCATTGCTGAGGTTTCTGGCCTCTGTGATGATCTCCTGAAGCAGGACAGAGACGTCATCTGTGGGAGGGAGAGGAGTGAGGGGTGCTGGTGAGACCAGGCTGGAGTGCCCAGACCAAACCACCTCACCTCTCATCCCCAAGTGCCAGCCCCCACTCCCACCCCACAGCCAGGCATGGAGGAAGAGAGTGCACACTCACCCAGGTGAGTGAACAGGTTCTTTGCCACTTGGAGAAGGGCCTGGAAAGGAGAAAACAGAGATCCTAGAGGTTAAGTTGCAGGGGTCACCCTCTCAGGCCCCTGCCTCCAATAGCCCCAGAGTCTTCTCATTCCTCCCCAAGGGATCTCCAGACAGGCTGGAGACTGGCAGAATCTAATTTTATCATTTGCCTACTAAGTGAAGGGGTGGGAAGTGGCCCCCGTGAAGGTGCATAGGAATCTCGAATCACAGATGCTCCATTCACCTCAGCTCTAGCTGCCCAGATGTTGCTGTAGTACCCAAGTTGGACACTAGAGGACGATCGCATACAGAGCCTGCATCCAGAGGCGCTGTCCAGAGCAATGGCTGGTCTCACTCTTTAAGAGCACTGGGTGCTGTAGAGGGCACTGGGTAATCATCCTGGCATGGGCCCAGAAAGACGTGGGCTTTTCCCTTGGGGATGACTGTCTGGGGCTCAGAGCTGGAAGACTTTATCCCTGAGGGAAGAGCAAGGCAGGTCACTCACCTGGCACTCACACTTGAGCTTCTGTTCCTTCTGGAAGGCCAGGGTGCTGGTGAGCACTGTGCTTGTGTAGTGGAAGCAGTGCTGGATCACATGCTCGTCCTGGTCTGTGAACCTGGGGAGAGGGCAGGGGTTCCTGGAGAAGGATCGGATGACCTAAAGCTCTCTTCCCGTTTCTCCTTCCTTCCATTCCTCCAGAAAGCCCTCAGAGATTCACCAGCAAAGCAATCTTCTCCTCTACTGGGGCTGCTCACTGCAGGGGCAGCTTGGGCCAGATTCCTCTGCAGACGGGGCACTCCCTGAAGGGAAGGCTCTACTCCTCCTCAGACCAAAATGTGTTTTCCTCACATTGTCTCTTGAAGCCAGAGCCATGTAAGTTCCTCCTCCTGTGACTTTAATCTACCCAGACTGAAGCTGGGTCTCCTCCCTCAGACTGCAGGCTTGCCCAGGCCAGTGCTGGGTATTCTCCTGCTCTTCCCAGGGGCCCCTCCAGCCTCAGGGAGGGGTGGTGGCACTGCCCTATCTTGTCCAGCTCCCGTCACTGCCCTACTTGCCTGGACTCTGTAGGTCCCTAAGGGGGTGGTGGGGAGGGCGGTGCCCCCCCTACTCATGGAATGATAAGATCAGCCTCAGGTCCTGCTGAGGTCATTCAATCCAGCCACCAAATGATTTTGGTGGGAGCTCTGTAGGGCTGGATGAACAAGCTGGTGTGGTACCTGGGCTGGGGCTGGGGCTTAGCGTCTCCAGGTGTGCTTTAAGGGAGTGGGAGGGGGACATGCCTCAGAGATTTGACCATCTCCCTGCCTTCAGATTTCCCTATCTAGATCCCTCCCTATTTTAGCTGGCCTTAGTGTAGTGACTCAGGGCTAGATCCCCCCTTCATGTCTGTCTGCCCACCTTCCTTACCATGGCATTTGAGGGCCCTCAGTCTTGTCCCAACCAACTCTCTCCCCACATTTATGGGTGTCTCTCAGCTTCAGCTACACTAAGATCCTCACCATTCTAAGAAATCTCAGGCTCTTTCACACCTTCATCCATTTTCCCACACTGTTCGCTCTGCCTAGAATACCTTTCCCACCCTCCTCCCTCTATGCCTTGAAAATAAACTTCAAGTCTTGAAGGAAGAGACCATGACTTTATCACCTCATCCCCAATACAGAGCCTGGTACAGAGGAGGTGTTTGCTAAATGTCTTAACTGAATTCTACCTCTGCCCTTGCCATCAGCCCCTCACACTCCCAGCTGAAGGGATTCTGGAAGCCCTTGTTCTCCGGGTTCCAGGCAGATTCTCTGCGGTCACTACTTTGAACTAAACCCCACCTGGATCATGCAATCATTCAGAGCACTCACTTTCTGAAATATGTGGGATCCAGAGATGGCCTTGCTCCTGCCATGGACCTCAGGGCTGTCACCAGGGCCCCATCTCATTTACCTTCTGATGCCACCTCTCCTCCAGGTCTGACATCCAGGTATAGGGCCATTTTAGAACCCAGTCCCACAGCCAGCCCATGCTGGATCCTACTTACTCTGCACTCCCTTCCTCAAAGGCCCTCCCAAGGCCATCTGGCCAGTACAGGGCTGGACACAGTAGGTGCTCAACATGTGTTTATTGAGTGGTATAAATACTTCCACCACAGGGTGCCCACTAGTTCCAAATGATACAGATCCCACATCCTTTCTGCCTCAGTGGGCTCTGTTTTTTTCCCTCAGGCACATCCAACTGCCTACATTGCTCTGTGCTGGTAGATCCTGCTACTCAGACCTGTGACTCTCAGATCTCTGTCCCAGCAATGCAGACCCCATCCCAGGGCTTCTGACACCATGCTACTTTGAACATCTCCAATCTCTACTTCTTGCAGGGATCCCAGGCCCTCAAACCCAGGCTGCTTTCTGGGGCCCAGGGGCCAAGCATCCTGACAGCATCTCTCTGCATCCTGGAAACAGGACTCAACCCCTCACCTGCCTGCTCCTCCCCACCTGTCTGGCTTGGCACAAACTGCTGGGCCTGTTGGACCATATGGAGCAGCATTCACATCCTGAACCTGCACCCAGCACAGACCTGGCTACTCAATCACTGCACTTTTTCTCACTAAATTAAGATCGAGTCTCAGCCTAAGCCTTCAGGCAACTACTACCAGTTAATGAGTTGGTATAGGACATGAAATCTATTTAAGATACTACTTCTAGACCCCAAATCTGGCCTCAGTTCTTGAGATACGCTTCCTGACTAAGCCTATTTACCTGACTCTGTTCCATGTGATTCATACAACTACTCTGTAAGTGCTTCTAAAGACCCTCAGCACAGTCCCCAAGCCTCTTCCCTTTAGCTACTGTCCAGTGTCCATGATGCTCTGTGGGTCACAGAGCATTCACCCATCCCAGAGCTCACTGCCCCTTCATCAGGCAGTTCACAGCAAAAATGCCAAAGCGGGATGTGACAAGTGGGAGGGAGTCCAGTACTCTAACCATGGATAATCCAAACTGCAGGAAGTGGGTAAAGAAAAGGGAAACTCATTTGGGTCTCAAAATGATTTCAAATAAGCCAAAATGGATGACAGAGTCAACAATTACCTGTGCCTCTGCCAGCAGCTTCTGCAAGAATCTAGGACCCTCATAATCCTATAGCCTCTTATACCAACAAACCATTCAGCCCACCACTACTGGAATAGGACTCCCCCCACAGGGCTTAGTTCCCTTCCTGATGTGTTACCCTGGTGGAGCCCTGACCAGCCATTTAGCTCCATCTCCTGAACCACATCACCCCACCCAGACTCACAAGTCTCCTCCAAGCTTGTTGAAGGCGCAGGCCAAGGCCACCACTTGGTCAGTGGCCCTGCTGATAACAGGGACACAGAGCATGGCCTGCAACTCGCAGGCCAACATGCTCTGGAGCTGCTGCACATCCTCCTGCAAAGGGGAGGTAAATTGGGCAGGGGCAGGGAAGGAGGAAGGGAGCCTGCTTCCCTCCCCCAGCCCTCCATGACATTCTGCCACATGCAGTTCTAAGGGACCTAAGGGACACATGCAGGATGGAAGTATTAGGACATGAGTGCGGGTTGAGAGAAATTCCCTAGGTCTTGTCTCCCTCATTCCTAGTCTGCCTGATCCCAGAGACCCTGGCCCTGGGGACTGTGCAGTGGGCTCTCCCCTTCCTCCTCCCCTGGTCCAGCCACACTATGGCTTACAGAGGTGAGATCTTTCAGCTGGATAGGCTTCTTGTCTTCTACCACCTGGCCCAGACGTCCGGTTGTCAACTGGGGAGTGAGGAGAGGCCCGATTAGGTCCCAACTCTCCCCAAGATCAGGTGATCTCAGAAAACCCCCCACCCCACATCCGGAAGTTTCAACCACCTCTTCAGCCAATCCAAATGGTGGATAGAGTCAACACTGAGGAGCAGGGGGTTAGGGGGTAAATCTGGTCTTGACCACAATCCCCTATGGAGGACTTTAGGGTCTTTCCTCACTAGGAGAGAAAAAAGCAGACTCCAAGGAATGTTGATCTCAACAGATTCTAAGAGAGCCAAATGCAAAAATACTCCAACTTAAGTGAACTGGTCACAAGTAAGCCTTTCTGTATATTATAAGAGCTTTCTCCTAATGGATCCTAATCATAAGAGATTGTGATCTCTTATTTCTAATAAGATCCCAAGACCCAGATATTTCTATCAGATTCGAAGAGATTCTCGCTATTCCCAGGAGTGCCTGGCCGGCCTTAACTGCTCCTGCAGACTCCAGCACATGGGGCAGGCGCAGGACTAACCGGAAAGCTAATCTCTTCCTCTAGCACTTTATCTCCGAAGACCTGGTAGGCAGAACAGAGGGACAGGTGAGAGGATGGGCAAGGTTTTTCCCCTCGGAGAGACGGGTCCCTCGCCCCGCCCCGCAGTGGACCAGAGTCCTAACCTTACAGGAAAGCTGGAGATTGTCCTCGGACACCAGCAGGAGGCAGCAGCGGGATGCCCGGGTTTCCTGCTGCAGCTGAGGGGTTGAGACAGACAGAGGGGCTAACCGCGGATCTGGGGCCACACCGTCTCCCCACCCTTTCGGCTCTCTGAGGTTCCTCCAGCAGGAGGAGAGAGGAAGGGTGGGACGTTTGAATCGAGATGGAACGGCTCACAGGTACTTTGGTCCCTGGAGGAATACGGGGGAAAGGGGTGCACAGGGACTCACGAACTGGAGGACTTTGAGCTGTAGGGCAGAAGCATCCAGGTCGTAGAGCTCCCCTGCAGTGGTGGGGCACAAGTCAGAGAGAGCGGGCTCTTAGACCCTCTACGAGCCTCCACCGCTCCACCTGCCTCCGCCTCCTAGATCCAATTGCGTCGCGGACCCGCCCCGGCCGCTCCCCACCGCCCAGGCTCCGCCCTTCATATAGCACCCTCCCTCCGGGGGTCGACCCCGCCCCCAGGACTCGCCTAGCCAGGTCCTCACCGCAGAGCTGCAGGACCTTTTGGTCCTGGTCGGTGTATGCAACCCCGCCCTTCTCGTCTCCGGCCGAGCCCGCGGGGGAGTTCTGGACCGCTTCGGAGGCCGCGCTGGGCCCGCGCTGCTGCAGGGCCTGCACCCTTCGCAGGGCCACCAGGGCCTGGGGAGGGCCGAGCGGTCAGAGTCACTCGCCCCACCTTTACGCAGCTCGCCGCCTCGGGACGCCTCGCCTTTGCTCAAGCCATTCTGTCTGCCTACAGTGCCCAACCCCTCCGCACCTTCCTTCCAAACAACTCATCCCTCATCGCTCCATCCTCCTGTGGACTCCCACTGTTCCTGGAGTGCCCCTCAGTCCCTGAACAGGTCAGTTAGGGTTTGTCTCTGCCCCTAGTCCCTAGTCTCTTCCAAGACAGGAGAGGGTCAGATTTCTCTGTCCTTACCACCCATGGGGGAATCCTCAGTCCTTGTTCAAGTCACAGAAATCATAAAATCTCAGGAAAGAGCCTCAATTTCATGACATAAATAGTCTTTCCTAAGTATTGACAAGGTATGCAACTCGCCTTATCTCACCAGTACCTTAAATAGGTCAGTGCTATCCTTATCCTCACTTGCAGATGTGAAATTGAGCTCAGAGAGGTTGACTTGCTCAAGGTCACATAGCCCAAAGGCATTAGACTGGAACCCAGGTCTGTCCAGCTCCCTGGCCAGAACACCTTCCCACCAGTTGTGATGAGGGTCCTCAGCAGCCCCTTCCTTCGCCAGCCCTACCCCCACTCACATGCTTCTCCACAGCTTGCAGGCTCCACTCTTCACCGTCACTCAGCTGGCCACAGTGCACCTAGAGGAATTTGGGAGGGGGCCAGCTGACCTCCGCTAGCTTCCTGTCTCTGCCAGAGTGCCCTCCCCACACCCAGCACACACCTGTCTCCACCAACACATACACACTCCAATCTATAGGCCTGTGATGAGCCCATCCTTCTGACCAAGCAGATGGCTCCAGGACAATCTCCTCCAGGAAACCTTCTTGGGCTAATCCAAAGAAGTGGAACTTTTCTGATCTCTGCCTTTTCAGTTATGGTCCCATCAAAGGCACAATCCAGGTGTATAGAGTGAGGGAAGGGGCGTGACCTTGGACGCCTGCCCGTCTCTCAGACCATGGAGCCCCACAGGCCTGATTACCCAGTCAGTGGTATCAGCCTCAGCCTCCCAGCTCCATCCGTCTGAGATGGACTTTGTGCCATCCTTAAGTCTGGGGTAAGGAAAGAGGTCCAACATTTATGAAGCATCTGCTGTGCCTAAAGAACCTAGAATGGTGGATGGATGAATGAATGGAGTGATAAAGTGTTTTTCCTTACGTGGATTCTCACCACCCTGTAAGTCAAGCTTCTACTTTGCAGATAAGCCAAGGCCTGGGAAAGCTGAGTGACTTACCCAAGGTCCCACAGCAGCAAGTGGCAGAGGTACCCACTCTCTCCTCTTCTTTGCCCACACCTTCCTCTCTCCAGACCCACTCTTACCCTCCTGCCCCATCATCCTGTCCCTCTCCAACGTGCCTATGTCAGTCACCAGGAGTCCCCTCAGCCCATCTTTCATACTCTGTAAAGTCCCTTCCCCCATGCCGGGTGCTTGGTGAGGAAAATGATAGAAGGAGGGTGGGTGGCAGTCTGGGGCCCACAGCAGGCCCTGCCAGCAGGGCTCTCCACCTGCGTCACCAGCTTCCTGCGCCTACTCAGAGCTGCTCACCGCCTGCAGGGCTCCCCACAGGGCCTGCACTGGGGTCTTCCTTCATCCTCCCTCCCCACTCAGTAGCCCCTGCCGCTCTGCTCTAGGTCCCCTGCCAGGAGAAGATGGAGAGGAGGAGACCAGCAGGTTCTCAGGAAGCTCATGGTTTGGCTGGGGCAGGATGGAGTGGGGGGAGGTGATTGGTGGGGTGCAGAACCTCAACCTGAGGAAGTGGGAGAGGGTAGGCTTTAGGGTGGGAACCTCAAGGCTGTGGGAGCTCACATTGGGAGGGCATCTGAGAGGCTTCCAGAACTGGCACTGAAGCACGGGAGGATAAGTACAGCCTGAAGGAGAGGGGTGGGCACTGCAGGCAGGAGGCTGTCCTGGCAGTGTTGGGTGGTATGTGGTATGTGGAGATGAGGATTGGGCAGGGGTGGAGTCCATGGTGCCTCAGGAGGAACCGGACTTCAGCTTGATTGTACTGGGTATCCTTGGCAGACTTGGAGCATCTGCAGACCACGGCCTAGAGGATGTAGGGGGAATTGGCAGGAGCAAGACTGGAGGTGGGAAGACCTGGGAGAGGCCTGGGCCACCAAGGATAGTATTGAAGGTGAAGCTCTGGATGAGGCTCCATCTATGACTCCAAAGGGATAGGTTGTTGAAAGAGGCTGGGGCCATGGTTCATTTGTGTATGGGTTACACAAACATGTGGGCATTTTACTGTTAGAAAATGGGGGTTCTTCTGGTTCATCCTGGTTCCTTCTACCTATTCCCATCTCTCAGGAACAACCAGTTCTGGGCTGACAAAACAGCCTGAGTCCAGTACAGAGCTGGGAGACTGAAAGAGAGTCTCTGAAGGCCAGGGACAGAAAGGTATCATGGAGTCAATCTACACCCACTGGACCTCCCCCCACGCCAGCCCATGCTCCTGGGCTCTCAGCCCATCCCCACCCAGCAAGTGCACGCACGAACACACACACACATTCTCTCATCAAGACCCTCAGGGCCCTCCTGACATCACACACACTCATACTCACAATCATCTCCACTAGATGGAGATACTCAGGCATGCAAGCACACACACAGTACCATCACAGACTCAAAGACAGCCACACACCCACACTCACAATGTCTACAACCGTCCATACATGTGCATTCATACCTGTATGTAGGACCCTTGAATTCACACACCCAAGAGCCATGTATACACTTCTGGCCCCCATACACAGACACACAATCACCAGCACTCACATATAGATTTTTGCTGACCAATAGGAACACACACTTGGACCTCCTCTTGCTAATCAGGGGGTATATCTGGGGCCCAGTGGGAGCATCCAGTGGTGGGCACTGGAACTGTGGAGAGGGCTGAAATCCCTGTTCTGCTCCCCATTCCCCACCCTCATCAAGTCCAACATGGCTAATTGCATGAAAACCCCATCCCCATATAAGGAGATGGTGTGACTGGCACAGCTGGGGGGAAAGTGGGCACAAATCACACATCAAATGCCAGAGACCAAGGGCCACCCACTCCTCAAAGTGACTTAACATTCCAGCACTGAAGAACAGAGACAAAGACTCTTTCCACACAAAGAACCTGCAGCCAAGGCACCCTGACCACAAGCTGCAGGGACCCAGATCCCAGCCAGGCAGTCCTGCACCAGAAGGCATGTTCCTCAGAGAGCCCTCCGCTGACCAAATCTCCATCAGGCCCCACTGTTCCTTGCAGGGCTCCCTGCTTTCTTGCTAGCACTTGCCAAATCATTTGCAATTCTACCTTTATTTTGTTGCTTGTTTAATGTCTGTCTCCCCTGCCCCTCCAGACTCCGAAAGAGGGCCTGGCTAGTCTGCCTAGGTCATTGCTGAATTAGCAGCACCTAACACACATGCCTGGGGTGCTCAAGAAGTCTTCAACCGACAGATGGGTTAGTGGGTGGATAGATGCCTGTGCTGCCTCCCAGAGGATGTGAGATCCTGTGGCCCCAGGAGCCAGGGGGTGAAGCAGCAGGACAGGCTCTGTTAGATGGATTTGCACTGGGAGAGGGGTGTCCTGGAGAAGTGCATTTCTACTTGAGTAGGAAGGCGCAGGCTGGAAGGAGAGGCAGATGGTGAATAATCCAAATAACTCTCAAGCTCTTCACTGTCCAGGGTATTTCAGGTGGTGAAAGGATGGATGTTGGGAGCTTCTCCTGGCAGCCAAAGCCTAAGGTAGCGTCTTGCTCAACAGTATGTCACCCGTACCTCAGCCTCACCAGGCTCACTCTTCCCCTAACACTCCACTACCTGTCTCCTCACCCTGCCTTTAAGCATGCTGTTCCCTCTGCCTAGAATATCCTTTTCCCTTCTTCTCTGCCTGTTGACCTCCTCCCATACCCCACTCAAATGCTGTCTCCACTGTGAGGCCTCCCTTGCTGCTCCAGCCTCTGCCACCAGAGCACCTGCTAGCAGCGTTCAGTGCATTTGGCCAGTCGTGGACTGATGGTGTGTCCCTGCCCTGCTGCACTGTGTGTGTGCTTGCATGCCTGAGTATTTCCATCTAGTGGAGATGATTGTGAGTATGAGTGTGTGTGGTGGCAGGAGGGCACTGAGGGTCTTGATGAGAGAATGTGTGTTCGTGCGTGCACTTGCTGGGTGGGGATGGGCTGAGAGCCCAGGAGCATGGGCTGGCGTGGGGGGAGGTCCAGTGGGTGTAGGATGACTCCATGATATCTTTCTGTCCCTGGCCTTCAGAGACTCTCTTTCAGTCTCCCAGTTCTGTACTGGAACCAGTACAGAGATCCTGGGCTTCTAGAAGGCAGACATGGGTCTGACTCCTCTTTCTGCCCAGCGCCCAACCTGGAGCAGGGCCCAGAGCAGGGCCTTGCTAGGGTGGGTTGAATTTAAGTGATTCTACCCCTTCCCCTTCCCAGTACACAACACACACATACACCCAGGCCTTTCTCCCCCCAGGAGAGGGCTGTAACCTGGACTCCTGGCCCAACCTGAGCCAAGGTGAACAGTGGTCACAGCAACCATCCTCCTGCCCAAGAGGAACAACCTTTGAAACGTCTCCCCCTTGTGGGAATCGCTTCCCTTCTGACCCAGCCTCCCAGCCCTGACACAGGAAGTCCTTCTCAGAAACTTGGCACTCCCAGACTAGTTTCCCTCAACAGAGCCACTGCCTCCCACCCCCCACCTCTGCACATTGCCCCTAGCCCTGGGCCTCTTCCAAGCAATGAGCTCTGGCACAGACTGGGACTGAAAGAAGGAGGGCAGTAGCACTGAGAACTCTGTGCCAACAGCAGATCCATTCCCTGTGCGAACAGCAGCTGGGGGTGGGGGAGCAGCTTGCAGGAGAAACCAAGAGGGCCGCGGCTCCCTCAGCCAGGCAGAGGGGGCACCGGGAACCCAAGCCAAATACCCTCTCCTCTCCCTCCCTCTTCCTGCTGCCACCCCCGACGCCCACTGCCCTCCCTGCCAGCAGTTCTGGAAAGGTCAGGTGCCTCTGAAACCTTTAATTCCACTTTAATGAGCTCAGGAGGAGTCCCTCGCTCATTTATCTGTCCGTACCCCAAAGTCTTCCCCTTATGGAGGTGGTGGCTGCTTCAGCAGATGCAGACCCCAAAATGGCTATTTCGGGGTGCAACCCTTCTGTTCCTAGGACAGGACAATGATTCTTCCTGCCCACCTTCACAGGGGAGAAGAGCCTTGAATAGAGGCAGAACCTGAGCCCATAAGGCTGAGCCAACCCCTTCCAGTGGAGCAGAAACCTAGCGAGCTCCACAAGGGTGCAGCAGAGGGCAGGGGAAGTGCTGCCTGGGTCTCACGCCAGGCCCCACCCTCCTCCCCACCAGGGTAATGCGTTCCCCCTTCTCTGAGGCCCCTTCCCCTCCATCACTCCACCACCACCACCAGGAGGCCTGCCCTGTTGCCTGGCGCCTACCAGAGCCTCAGCCTCAGCTGGGGGTCTGGACACCTTCCCAGGCAGCCTGCCCCATGGGTGTCCTCTCCCGGGCTCCAGCCACCCTAATCTCTATGCGCTTTCTCGCACCGTCTCTTTTTGTCAGTTCATGTCTACCCATCCTTCCTTCCTCGGTATCTCTCAGGCCCTTCCCACCTCACTGTTCACATCTTCTGTGGACACTGACCCCAACCCATCCGGGAGGACGCCAAAGAGGAAGCAGGGTCAGGGCCGTGCCAAGGGCTGCACAGGGCCAAGAGTGCAGATGGGGCTTGTGTATCCTTCCGAATGTTGCTGACTGAGCCAGCGACTTGGTCCTGCCCACTGGAGGCAGGGCGGGGGGCTGGGGTGTGGGAGAAGCCTCAGACTCCTCCCAGGCTCCCATTTCCCCTAACTCTAGCCCAGCTCGCCGCTGCTCCTAACACACACACATGCGCCACACGCACACTCATACACACACACCCGGCAGACTCATCCACCACTCCCTCCCCTGCTGTCCTCTCCCCCACCACTCCCCGCATGGGCTCTTACCAAGATGACGGCAGCCACAGCCCCAGCCTCCTTGTCCACCAGCGGTATGACCAGCACTGAGGGGGAGAGGGCAATGAAGTGGTCCTGCGGGGCCAGTGAGGCCCAGAGATACTGAGCCGGGACCCAGGGAGGGAGACAAGACACGGACAGAGAGAGGCCAGGACAGAGACACAGAGAGACCCAGAGACCCAGAGAGACAGAGAGAGGGGTCCTCAGGTGGCAACAAAGATAACCACAGCAAAACGACCCCTGCGTAGAAGGAAACACCCTCACTTGACAATTTTCTTGTGATCCTCCCAGCAACCCTGAGAGGGAGGGAGGTAATTAAAACCGAGCACCCCTATTTTACAGATTGGGAAACTGAGGTCCAGAAAGGGGAAGTGACTTGCCCAAGATCACACAGCAAGTCAGGTCTCCTGACTCCCAGTCTTGTGCTCTTTCCACATCGAGACAGAGAACAGAGACCTAAAGAGACTGAGACACGAGGCAGAGACATGGCGGAAAGGGGACATGGAAAGGAAGAGAGAAAAACAGAGACAGTGACAGAGAGAGCATGGCAACAACTGCAGCCCATCTAGCAACAGGCACGAGCACATCGTCGCTGTGGCCATTGGCCACTGACTCCTAGTATGTGCCAGGCCCTTAACATGAGTTGTCTCCTTTGCTCCTCCTTGCAACACCCACTTGAGGTGGGTTCTGTCATCCCCATTTTACATATCAGGAAACTGAGGCTCAGAGAGGTTAGCAGCACAAGAGAGAGAGAATTAGAGGGATTGCTAGAGACACAGAGCAAGAGAAAGAAGGAGACAGAGAGATGAAGACAAGGGTGGAAGACAGAGGTGATCTGGGCAGCAGGGGCCGCAGTTCCTCCCTGCCCCTGCCCAGCTCCCAGCCCTTACCTTGGGAGTCAGGAGGCAGGGGAGCCAGCAGCCTGGCCAAAGGCTTCCCTGGCAGGTCGGAGGGGCCCAGTCCCTTACAGCCCAGCCGCTTCCGGGAGATCACAGCCTCTCTGAAAAGAGGACATCATTCTACCTCTCAACCCCTGGATCAAAAAGCAGCAGGCCCTGGCCTGGGGACACACAAGTAGGTTGGACCCCACACATCTGCAAGGATCCGGACAAGTTGACCTACTGCAGGGTAGACACAAGGAAGGCAAAAATAAAAGAGTCGGGGACTCTGAACCCCTGTGTAGAGGGGCAGGCGGCCTCTGGCCAACCTCTGGTGCCTCTTGCTCATAGATATGGGAAAGGTACCTTATGACCCAGCACAAATCCCCCAGAATAAGTAAAGCAAGGGCTCAAAGTGAGGCTGCCTGGGTTAAATCCTGCCCAGGCTACTACTTGACTTCGGGCAAGTGATCAAACCCTCTGAGCCTCCCAGGGAGAACTAGATGGAGGAGAGTAGAATTTGAACTGTCTCCACCTTCAGAAAATCATTCTAGAGCAGATTTCAGTGCTAAGCACAAGAGCGGAACTCCTGTGAAGAGACGATCATCAGAAATGAAGTTTACTGGACATCCCTGGTATGCCATGCCCAATCCAAGCAGCTCACATAGATGAACTCAGAATTCCCAACAATTTAATGAATTAAATATTATCATCATCTCCATTTCCAGGTAGAGAAACTAAGGTGGGTTAAGTAACATGTCCAAAGTTCCATGACTAGTAAGTGGTAGAGCCAGGAGTTGAACCCAGGCAGTTGGCACTGGAGCCTAAACTCCTAAGCAGTGTGCTTGAACCTTCCTAAAGACCTAAGGAGGTGTGAGCCCCCAACAAGAGGATTGGCATGTATGTCCAGGAGGCAAAGGGCACAGGTGTGATGGAGGGGAGGGGAGGTGGGAACCCAGGCAGGGGAGGTTAGTGGAGGAAGAAGGAATTTCTCTTTGCCCATACCACCCTTCCCCCAGGCCTCTGGCTCTGCCTGCCTAATTAAGTACCTGATTTTTCACCAAGTGTCACTCCCTCATGATTAATTGTCCTGGGTTTCTCATCCCTCATGCTGCCTCCACTGAACTGTGTTCGTAGGAACTGCCTGGCCTGTAGAGAAAAGAAGCTTGTGGGGCTGGACCTCTTGGTGTGTGCATGTGGGGTCCCTGTGGGGATCCCAGAGCAGGGCAGATGAGGAAGAAGAGGGGCAGCCTGCAAGTCTCCAGATCAGGAGATCATGGGCACTAGAGAAATCAGGGACCTAAGAGGCTGAGCGTTTTGGTCAAGGTCACACAGCATTCTGAAACATCCTGGCCACTTGGATCAGAATCCATAAGAACCAGTGGTGTTTCCCCACTTCCAGCCCTCATACCCTGGATCTTTAGGCTCTGAGAGTGCTGGTCTCCAGTTCTGAGTTGTCAGACTATGCCAATCACCCCAGGAAGAGAGTAGGGATCTAGGGCGGCAGGAGGGCAATGGCAGCCACATTTCCTGATGACTAAACTAATAAAGGCTGGGGCTTCATGGAGGCAGGGGTCTGGCTTTGGTGACCTCCAGCCAAACCCCCTCTTGTGGACCTAGCTCAGCCACTGGGCTCCTGACAGTCCGGTTCATGGGCAGCCACAAGATGGTGCTGGGCCCTGCACTGCTGGCCAGTGAGTGCTGCAGCTTCATCCCACTGACCCCTCACTTCCACCTGCAGACCAGGGGCTCCCTTGGCATCTCCCCTTCCTTCCCTCGGGACCCTGATGAAGGATCCGCCCTCACCTATTCTCTTCTGCACAAAACGCCATCCATTGTGCTTATGGCCTTGTGACTCTCCAGTCCCACTCTCATGAGCTCCAGACCCAGATACCCAAAGGCCTCCTAGAGACCTGCCCTGGGTGTCCCCAAGATTGTCAAAGACACCTAGTCCCAATCTGAGCTTATCCCATCTACCACTACCCCTAAAGGGCACAGCCATCCCCTGGGTCCTTTGTGGCTTGTCCACAAACTGTCCTAGCTGCCTCCCTCTTCCTCACCTCCCCCATCCAATGGGCGAGTCACCTCCCAGGCAGCTCTCATAACTATCGCTGCTCACCAACCCCAACCCACTGCCCAGCTTGAACAGAGACATCTCTCCCCAGACCTTAGCTTCTCCCCTAGCTGCCTGCCTCCTGCCAGGTCTCCTAAATCCATCCCCCATACCAGAGCCAGAGAAGGTTTTCTCAACTAAAATCCTATGGGAACATCCTATTTGAAGTCTGAAATACTCCAGAGTATTTATTTGGGGTCCTTCTGGGTCAGGATTGGTACTGATGACTGAGATGAGGAGAGGAGCTCCAGCATCATGCAGGGACAGACATGCAGCCCCATGAGAGTGCTGCGATGAGGGCTCTGACGACGGCAGGAAGAGTGGGCCCCAGCCTGCCCAGGCGGAGGACAGAAGTAAGCTCAGGGAAGGCTTCCTGGAGGAGGAGATGCCTGAGCTGAACCCTAAAGGACATGCAGAAGTTATCAAGACAGACAGGAAAGGATGTGCAGACAGAGGGAACTACCTGTGCAAAGTCTCAGAGGAGAGAGAGAAGGTTTGCCTGCTGGATGGGCCAACTGCAAGGAGACTGGTGTGGCTGGAAAGCAGGGAGCAAGGCTAGATAGGAGCCAGGGCCCTGAGGAGCTGCGCTTGACCCTAAGGGCAGTGGCAGCCCCAGGAGAGACTTAAGCAGGGGAAGGGGAAGGTCAGGGTTGACTCAGGCTGATCATGCTGGCTGCTGGGTAAAACTCTCACTAAGGAGGGAGAACCTTAGAGGCTGGAAACCTGGTCTTAGTGAGGGCCCCCTAGTTTTGGTGGTCCTTGGATAGCAGAGGAGAGGCTGGGCTGGGGCAGGTCTACCCTGACTGTGCCTAGACTTCCCACGAAGTGCTGGGGCCTCCAAGGGGGCTCGACACTCAGAAGCCCCCACACTTTGGCACCTCGCTCTACAACCCGTCCTCCCTGGCCCAGCCACAACCTACAGTCTCAGGTAGGGCTGTGCCAGGCCATGTTCCCACCAACCTACCCACTTGTAAGTCTTTTTATGCTACCCTTCCTGGAACTGCTCCCTGAAGGTTTCAAGACACCCACAAACTGGAAGGGGAGGGGAGTGCCAAGGCTGAGTGTTCCCAACCCAGAGGGGGTCTACTGCTCACACCCCCAAGGCTCACCCCTCAGTGCAGAGCCCCCAGCCTGCCTCCTCTCCCCTATCCCTTCCCTGCTTTGCCAGGCTAATGGTTGGGGGTGGAGGGAACCCTGTACATTGAAAGCTAATGACTGAGCCCAGACACCTGGGTGGTCATGGCGTGTCCTGCTGAAGGTAAAGACAGATGGGTGTAGAGTGGAGGGGGGAATGGGCATGGGTTTTATGATGGTTCCGTTCCTTTTACAACTATTTGTTTAGTGGAAAGAGTAGAGGGAAAGGCTCTCTGTTGGTGGGGTCAATGGCCTGGAAAGAGCTGAGTGCCCAAGTCCTCTTCCAGTCTTCTGAGCCCCTTCTTTGGTGAGGCCCCACCCCCTTCACTGAACCCCCTGCCCTGAGCCTCAGCCTTGCTGTGACCTTTCATATCTCTTGAAGAAAAATTTTCATTCAGGCCAGAATTGGAACCCTCTTCTCCCTCTCCTAGAATGTGGCGCTCCAGGGATAGGAGGAGACTATTACCTGTGCCCTTTAAGACAAATCAGAGGGTCAGATTCTGCAGTGAGAGGGGACCAGGTCAGCTCTGAGGGAGCAATTTCTCAAGAGTGGGCCCTGGGAACCCCAAATGGTAGTGGAGAGAGACAACCAGCTGGGGCTGGCGTGGGCAGCGTCTCCATTGCAGCTGTAAGGCCCCAGATTTCACTGCACTCAGCAGCGGGTAATCAGAGGCTTTAAGATGTCAGGAGACACAATAAGAGGAAGTTGGCAGGGCTGGGGACTGAAATAGGCGGGGAGATTGAGGCGGGGCACCAACGAGAGGGAGGTGAAGCCTTCAGGGAAGCCCCTCACCCAGGCAGCCCACCAGCTTCTCTCCCCTCTAGCTCTGAGGCCTTTTGCAGCCTAGAATGCAGAGCTGGACTAACCCTCAGACATCACGGTATCCAGCTTTATAACCTCACAGAAGTTAAGACTGGGACTCGGGGAGATTGCATGAGATTGCTAAGGCAATCTAGGTCTTCTGACTCACAGCCCGGGGATCTTGTGGACTGACCTATCTCTGAGAGAGGCCACTATGGCCCAGACACCTGTTTTGATAATTTGATCCTCCTTCATGCCCAGAAACTATGAGCCAGGCCACTAAGGGCCTCTGGCTAGGCAGGGGGAGATAAGGGAAATGTGGGGTTGGTCAAGATGGAACAGGGAAGGACTTGCGGGGGAGGAATGAACAGGAGCGAGCACAGGAAACCTAAAACCCATGTGGGCACAAAACCAGGTGTCTGTGAGCCCACAGAGTGGGAGGGGGCAATGTCAGGCAGGGCTGGGTAGCTGGCAGGGACTCCTTACTCCCCTTGGCCCATCTCCACCCTGTGCCCATCCTCTACCCTTTCTCCTGCACCCTTATCTGTCTTTATGATCCGCCTCCACTTCACACCTGCTGCTGTTTGCCAGCTGTGCCATCTTCCAGGCTTCCTGGAGGGGCACACACCACCACCTCACACAATGGGCCTTGCCGGAGCCTCAGGCGCCACCTCAGCCTGGGGCGGGCGCCTGATCTCCTGATGGGCCCAGAGCCACAGAGGAACCACTGAAAGGACTCTGTACCCAGCTCCACCCATTTTATAGAGAAAGAGACTGAGGCCGGAAGGGAGGTCTCCTCTTCTCCTGCCTTCTGGGCTCATGGTCCACATGCCTCTCTCAGGAAGGCCTTCCCAGGCCTCTATGAGGAAACTTCCCAGATGGGGCAGGTCATATTAAGCGACGTTCTTGAGAATCAGGCGTGGGGATGCTGGCTTAAAGGAGAAAGGGGACATTATAGCACTTTTGACCATAAGATTTGAAAGACCTTCAGCCTTGTCCTGCCGCCTTGTAGACGGGGGCAGTGGAGAGGGGCATGGCTGGCTTGGTTCACACAGTTCTTAGCGGGAGGAACTGCCTGGAGATGTGGAAGGGAAGAGTGTCACCCACCCTGCTGGGGAGCCGAACAGGAGAACAGGAGGTGGGAAGGCTTCAAGAGGCACCAGCCCATTCCATGGGGAAGGGCTGGGACAGAGACAGCATCCAAGAATCCAGGGTTCCAAGGGCCAGGAGGGGCCTCAGGACCACTAGCAGCTCAGCATTCAGGCCTCCGACACCCCCAAGTAGCAATGCTTCCATGGCCTCTGTGAGAGGCAAGTGCCTGGCCAGCCAGCTGCTCCCTGAAAGCCACATCATCCCTGGATCTTGGCCTGTTGGAAAAGCTCTCCCCCAGGGCATGGGGCGCTGACTTGAACACTCCCGCTGGTGCCCACTCAGCCCTTAGCTCCCAACCCAGTGCTCCCTGGGCCCATGATGGCCCTGTGTGCTTCAAAGGCAATGACCACGTCCTCTGTGGCCTGCCCTCTTCTGGACCAGCACTCCTGCCCATCATCACTCTTTCTCATCAGGCAAGTTCCATTTTTCCTCACTGTCCCCGGAACAGCCAGGAGCCAGGAGACCGTGCCCCAGGCCTGGCTCAGCATCACTTCAGGAATGTGGGATTGCACATATCTTGTGATGGTGGCCCATCCGGAAATTAAGGAGGCTGAATTTGATAGGCTGAGGTATCAGAGGACCAGAGGGTGCTAGCCCATATTCCTAAAGTCATGATTCTGCATTCCATCACAATGAAAATGATATCAGACATTTAGCATTCAGTATGGATACCTTTGAGTGCTTTACATGTATTAAACTCATTTAATCCTCCCAACAAACTATAAGCATTATCATCACCACTGTACAAACATGAAAACCGAGGCACAGAGAGGTTGAATACTTTGCACTAGGTTGTACAGCTCGTAAATGGGGAGCTGAGTTTGAACCCAGGCAGTCAGGTTCTAGAACCCCCAGCAGGGCACTGCCTCTGATTTGCTCTCAGATACTGGGCTGACACTGTGTGTTCCTGGTCTAGTGTTCTGTGATTCTGTGAGAACCTCCCAGGCAGTTCTCAGAGCCTGCTGGGGTTCTAACTGATGAAGTGCAGCCCCAACATCCTGAGACTCAGCTCTGAGAAGCAATTTAGAATCAACTCTCTAGGAGAAAACCTACCAGCTACCCCTTTCCCTGTGCTGTCCACTCCCTAACACACCACAAGAGAAGACATCGCTTCTCCCCTCTCTGCTGAAGTCAGGGGCCTGGCCAAAGAGCCTGCCTGGCAGGGAAGCTGAGGACCTTGGAAGATACCCCAGGCCTGAGATCCTTGACATGTGAAAGGACAATGGGATACAGAACGGCTCACCGGACTTTCCCCTCCTGGGGCAGCTCATGGTGGGGGTCCTCACACACCAGCCGGGACTCTCTGTCCAGAAGGTAGGTGTAGACAGTCTCCTAGGATGGAAGGCACTCGTGAGACCCTGCGGAGAGGCCCTCCCAGCTGCCCAGTCCCAGCCTGTATAGAGGTCTGAGTGACAGGGTCACAGACCCTTTGGGAATGGGCTCAGGCATCTGTTGGTTTTTACTCTGCAGGTGATTGTAAAGTGCAGTGAGGGAGGACACACTCCCTTAGGAACTTAACCCCTCACCCTTTCTTCTTGGAGGAGGTTCTGGGCAGGCAGTGTGCCATAACTCTGCCGGCTTTCTTTACCTATCACCCCAAATCCAAGGCATGGGAAAAGGGTCTGATGCGCTGAAGGTGCCGACAAATCCTACCCCCCAACCCCAGGGTATCTTCCATGATTCCAGCCTCAGCAAACAAACTGAGCATCCACACAGGCAGGCCCATACCAGGAGGGGCTCAGAGGCCCTGGAAGCTTCCCTCCTGACTCAAGAAACACAAACACCTCTATAAGAAACTATACACTGTGACCCAAGCCAAGAGGGCTTCCTGGAGCAAGTGACCTTGAAGCTATAAATGAAGTGGGAATTAGACACATTTAGGGAGTGGGTGAGGCACAGAAGAATGGCTTCTGTGCCAAGTTGCAGGCATGTCGATGTAAAGAGAGCACAGAGCATTTATGGAATTAACAGTGGCGGCAGGGGGCACAGGAGGTGGGTTGGGTCAGGAGGGCTGAACTGCAAGGGTAGGTAAACCAAGCTGGGGGCGGATGCCCAGGGGCACCTGCCAGGCAGGTGATGAGCACTGAGAGACAGAGCAGACTTGTGTTTTGGAGTGATCACCTCCTGGAGTGAGATCACAGCTCTGCTAGAAGCTTATCAAGTCTTCAGCTTGTCAACCCACCCTCCCCCGGGCCCAGAGCAGACTTGGCCTCAGTTCCAGCCCATGTCCTGGTGGAAGAAGTTGTCCTCACTGACCCACAGGTGAAAATCCACATTCTTTCCAAGCAGGACTGGCTCCCCTTAGGGGTCTATACCAACTCCCATTCAGCACAGCCCACAAGGTACTGTGACAAGGGAAACCCAGACACCAGCGAGGGGGCTAATTATCCTGAGAGGAGTTGTTTTCTCAGTGGGAGGATGAAGGGCTGTCCTCTCTGCTGATGGCATCAGAGGAGGTGACACTGGGGCCAGGTACTGAGGGCCCACCCTCAGGAAGTGTGGAATCCCTCGCAGCAGGAGCTGCTTTCGGTGACTGTGAGAGTCCACAATCGTGCCAGCCAGTCTTTGCTGCCCTTGGCTGTCCCCAGCCAGTCCACACCCTCTCCCAACACCCAGGGGATGACCCAATCCTACTTCCAGAGAAACCAAACCAAGCCCAGGGGTGGCATGGGCGGGGAATGATAGGGCCTGAGGGAAGTGAGAGGGGCCTACGAGGCCAAGGCCTGGGGCCGCCTTGTCCTCCTGGTAAGGGTCTAGGTGGGAGTTCAGGGATGAAGAAATCAGTGGAAAGGAGGCCACCCACCCCTTATGGTTATCCAGCCTCCTTCTTGTCATCTGACCCCACTAGCAGCCTGGGAGGGGCCTGAGAGATTTGGCTCAAAGAGGTTAAGAGACCAGCTGGCCCCAGGCTCACACAGAAGCCTGCCCTGGCAGAGACAGGGATGGGCGATGGGGGGTGGGGATGCAGGGAGGATGTCGCTCCTCATTTCACATCCGGATGTCCGTCTGTCTGCCACCCCCTCACTTGCAGCCCTCTGGGTTAAAATTAGCTGAGTTTATGGGAGAGAAGGAGGGAACCATTTCAGACACATCAGCGCCATCTGTATTTGGGGCTGCCTGCACAATGGGTGCTGATGAGGGGTCCAGGTGCCAGCGGCTCTCCTCACTTAGGAGGCAGGGAGACCCCTCACTCCCCACCCCTCCCTTCTGGATGAGCAGAACCCCTGACTCCCCACCCATCTCCAGAGGCAGGGCAGACCCCCTCCATCTCCCCACCCATCCCTGGAGGCAGAGCAGACCCCTCCATTCCTCACCCCTCCATGTAATCAAGCCAGGGCTCCCCCAAGTCAGGGCTTCCCTAGCTCATGCAGGCCTCTTGGATGGGCCCTGGTAGACATTTCCCATAGTCCCAGGAACATAATTGCCTGACCGCAGCTGTCTTTCAGCCCCCAACTTCGGGGATAAAATTAGTCCAGTTTAAGGTATCTATGCTGGCATAACCACCAGGCACCCTATGAAGACCCAGCCGGTCACCTCCTCCTCCTCATCCCAGGGCAGCCTCAGTGGCCACAGAGGGGCCCAGGACAGCCTTGCAGACACTGACCTGCCAGTCCCCACTCCCTTCTTTCCAGATGTTTCTCCACCCCAAGCCAGATGTTGCCTCAGTCCCATTCTTCCCTGGGAGGATTTATTTTTGGGTGCCAACACACCACCCACTTCCTACCAATTTCACGCTCAATAAAGCTCACCCATTAGTCCTCCTGGGCTCTGAACTTCTAGGAGGTTTTGTAAAGGCAGAGCTAGGGAGAGGGAACAAGGGTGCTTAGGTGCCAAGCCCCATCTGTCCCTGTCATACTGTGTGACCTTGGGGAAAGTGCCCTCCCTCTCTGTGCCTCGGGTGGTTCATCCATCAAGCAGATTCAGACACAATGGGCTCTGGTTGGGTGGGGTGGGAGGGGGTAACATTCTGAATTAGCCTTATTTCCTGGAGCAGAGCCTGAACTTGGCCAATGTCTTGAGAAGGGGAGAAGACATTCCAACCCACAGGGACTGTTTACACATCTCCTCCAGGAATTCTTCTGTGCCCCTTAGGCTGGGTCAAACACCACTTCCCAGCTGACATCTTCCCAGCAGGAATCTCCTGCTTCCCTCTATCTGGCACAACCGAGACACTGCTGCTTTGGGTCTTGAGGGCCAGTTTATCCATTCTACTACCTAAGGAATGAACAGTAGCCATCGGAGCCAGGTTGGGGAATGGCCTGGGGCAGCTGAAGAGGGGCACAGTCCCCTCACCAAGGTACTCTGGGCGCAGGCAACCATAGTGAGCAGGTGACCATGGGCCTAGGCAACTATTCTCTAATCTGCAACCTCATCCATGGTGTTGGGATGGGTCAGAGAAAAGCTTAAAGATTTCTAGAGGTCACCTTGTCCAGCCTCCTGTCTCCAGGCAGGACACTTTAACTCAGCATAGATCCATTTATCAATGCTGAGCCCCATTCTAGCACCTCCCAGACCTGGCATCAAGGAAGTTCTTGTGCATGTCTACCCTCAACCCCTCCGGCTGTACATGTTTGAAGGCCGACCTGACCCCACCATGTCCCAGCTGTTAGCCTGCATAAATCTCTTCCATTATCTGAAAGCATCATCTTTCCAGCTCAGCTCTTAGGCCCCTTCTATGTCAAGACATTCCAGGATTCCTCTACAAATACATTCTTTGAGGCTTAGTTTCAGCTTTTTCTCCTCCAGGAAGCTCTCCCAGAACATACACCCAAACCCTTCACTTCCCCATGAGAGTCCTCTAGGCAGGGACTCTGCTCTTCCCTCCTTCTCAGCCCTGTGTGAAATACAGCAAGGAACTGGGCAAAGGTTTAGGGGGTGGGGAAAATGTGGAGCAAAGCACCTACCACTCTGGGAAGCACGGCTGAGAGGGCCTCCTTGACAGCCTGTTGCAAGCCCACAATGTCGATGACAGAGCCTAGGCTCAGCAAAACATCCTGGAAGAGAGGAAAGGGCAGTGAGGGCCTTTTCCAGGTAAGTCAGGGCAGTCCATCTACCCAGAAGGCTTTGAGCACAGACTCCCAGAGCCCAAGGCCCTCAGCTGAATCCCAGGATCTCAGAATCCAGCAAGAGTAAAGGCCTTAGAATGTCTAGTTCTCTGCATCTTACAGATGGAGAAACCAGCTCAGAGAAGGGTCAGGGGCATAGCAAAGAAGTCACAATAAGTCTAGAGGTCAAGTCTGGACTAGACCCCAGGTCCCTTATCCCTCAGCTTAGGACAACTCTGGCATAGTAAAAAAAACACAAGCTTCCACATTAAAACAAAGCAAAATAAGCAAACAAAACCCCCTGATTTGAATCCTAGCTGCACTACTTATTAGCAGCACATGCCTTGGTAAGTCCGTCTTCTTATCTGTAAATTGGGGGCAACTATGGCTCTCTCCCCTACAGGTTGATATGAAGATAAAATGGAACTGAGTCCTAATAGTGCCTCACAGAGTAGCTACACAGAGTAGATGTTCAGCTAAATATTCGCTGAATCTGGGTCCCACTCATTTTCCCCAGGAAGTGAAGAGGTCTCCCCCAATCATTTTCAGCCTAGTGAGAGGATGGGTTGGGAGTAGAAAAAGTCCAAGGGGTACACGAACCCACAAGGCGGGAAGAAACACAGCTGTGCCAGCCCCTGGCAAGATAGGAGAGAAAGGAGAAATCAGCCTTGACTGCCTTACAGCCTTCCTGTCCCAGGAGCAGGCCTTGTCCTTGGAAAGGGGGAACAGAGACAAGAAAGGTCCCTGCTTCTCGCTCTATTAACTTGGCGAGAGCCACAGGAATCAAAGAGAAGGGTAATGGAACAACGGATCCAGGGCCAAGGCAGGATCATGACTCATACCATCCACTCAGCCATGCCCTCCCCGCTAGCCCTTGGAAGTTCTTTCTGATGTCTTCCCTGTGGGATGGCTAGGTCTGTGTTCAAAAGGCAAAGTGATTAACTATAAGCTGAAGGAGACATAGCTTGGCCCCCATTCATGTAAAAATGATATGAGGTTGAGGGTCTTAGTGGACCATCAGCTCAGCATGAGTCCTTAGTGTATGTATGGCTGGTAATAAGTACAAATGCTGAAACTGCATGCCATATTAATAAAGATCTGTTAACTTTAGATGATGGCTTCCCCACTTCTACATGCTGATTAGACCATGCCTAGTTCAGAGGAGGTGACCCATGTAAGGAGGAAACTGGAAACCAAGTCCTATATATGACTCACACTGGAGAACCTGGGCACCTAGCCTAAAGCAGAGCAGACCCAGACCCTGGCCCCAGGGACAGCCTGGAGACCCATATGATTTCAAGGAGGCTGGTCTTGGTATAGTGGGATGAAGGACCTTCTTCTAGGCTGAACCATGCTATATAGGCAGAGGCCACCAGGAAAGAGAGAGGAAATGAGCTCCCCATCCCTGAGGGTGTGCAAGAATGGGCTAAATGTCCATTTCTCAGAAAGGCCACAGAAGGGAGCTCTGCTTTGGTGTCCAGATGAAGCCTGTGGTCCAGGCTTCAGCTCCAAACTTCACCCTGAGTCTTCTTGGATTCAGTTTCCTCCCAGATCCCACCCCACCCATCCCAGTCCTATGTTCCAAAGAGGGAGGCAGCAGTGGCCTTTCTCCCTGAAAGCTTACTTGGCATTGCTGTCCCATGTGCCAGCATCCCTTTGATGCCTCCCACTCCTCAAGGATGAAGATATGTTTGGTCAGAGAGAACATTTCTGCCCTTGGACATCAGACGCTGCTGATTTCAAACATTAATAATCCCCAAACTGGATCAATTGTCCTTAACCCTTAGGCATTCCTCATCACAGTTCACGTACCCTCAGCACCACACATAGCTGGCCACATAGCCCCAGACCCTTATTCTTGCAGAAACACCCCAGCACGCCTTTAGACACCCTCTAGGTGTGCACACAGGTTCATAGGGGTGCAGCTCTTTCTCAGTAACACTGGCACATACCATGTACATGTGGGCTACTGTGGCCTTTTGAAGTCAATTCTGTAGACTAAAGACAGAAGGAAGAGCTGATGCTCCAAATAATCCCAGAATAAAGTCTGCCAACCCAGGCTCCTCAGCCCAGGGCTCCCAGGGCGGGCTCCAGAAGGTGGTGCTGGTTCAAGTCTGTTTTTGCCTGGAGGTGGATGGGGGTGTGGGGAGCAGACAAGCTGAGCCCTGAGGGGCTCTGCCCTTCTGTGGGGTTTGATGTGTGTGCTATGGAAGCCGGAGAAGAGCAGTCAAAGTGATGGAGTGAACTCTAATGTGGGGGAAGAAATTTTTCAAAACCACAGGCTTGGGACAGCTAAGCCTCACCATTTGACAGATGAGTAAACTGAGGCTCAAAGAGAAACAATGTCCCATCTGAGGTCAACCAGCCAGTCAGGGCAGAACCCGATCCAGAACCCAAATCTCTGGATCTCCAGCTCCTGTCTAGCTCCTTCTCTGCACCCAATCCCCCCAGCTCCCTCCCCAGGGGGCTTAGAGGAAATATTCTGTCCTTTGTTCTGATTGGTGGGCTCCTGACCTGCCCTTTACTTGGATTGGGGGATGTCTGGACATGTCCTTTAGTGGAATTGGCAGGTGCTTGTCTGGCCTTTGTTTACACTGATCAGTTTTCTGTGACTACAGGCTAAGGGCAGGATGTGGTGGGGAGGGGGGAAGGGAAGCAAACTTGGGGCGAGCTGGGGCAGCAACAGGGAGGGGGCTTCATGGCCTTGGCCAGAGTGGGCTCATGCAGACATGGCTGATGAAGCCTGGGGCTCTCACCTAGCATTCCTCTGTCTGTCCACCTCCTGGCCCTGCCCTGCCTGCCCCAGGAGTGGGGTTTCTGGGTGCAGGAACCACAGCAGGGTAGGACCACTTTACACCTGGCTCCTAAAGGGGCCTTCGAGACTTGTTCAAATACCACCTCCTCCCTGAATCTTCCTTACATGTCAGAGCAACTTCACCTCCACCACATCAGCTCAGGGAAGGAAACAGCCCAAATTCCAAAGCTCATGAGGTGCAGCTATGAGAGCAGAGCAGCTGCCTCAGTGAAGGGAGGAGTCAGTGGGGAGAGCTGAGAATGCGCACAACTCTGCCCAACACACATGCACACACCCTCACACAGACATGTACACAGATAAAAATGCAACCATACATACAATGCATGCACAAATACACACTTAGGCATGAGCATCTGTGCACACACATGCACGTGTGCACACATGCTGCACACACACACAGCCCAGGCCCACAGTGGGTGAAGAAGGTCATATTTCCTGCCCGCCTAGCTTTTTTGAACAAACATCAGCATAAATATCAGTGTAACAACAAGTGGTTTCCCAGACCCCAGAGGAGAATTTGTGGTGTAGAAAAGAGTAGTGATTTCCAGTCCTGTCCCAGACTGACTACAGAACTTCTGTGTGGCATTAGCAGGCCACTTTCCTCTTCTCAGCCTCAGTTTCCTCATTAGTAAAAATGGGTCTTTACAGCTCTGCAGCATATAGTTATGTGGTTTTGTCATTTAATTCAATGAGGATGGGTGAATGGATGTGTGAATGAATGGGTGGGTGGATGAAAGAATGGATGGATGAATGGGTTGATGGATGGAAGGATAGGAGGAAGGGAGGGTGGATGGATGGAGGGAGGGATGGATGGGCAGGTGTGGGGAGCCTTCCTGCAAGTCTGTGGTTGGAGGCAGGGCCAGTCAGCACTGTAGCCACCCACTACCCACACAGTACCAAGAAATGGCAGTCTCTTCTGAGTCTGGGCTCCTCTGGAGCCAGTGCTGGGGCAGGACCAGGTTTTTTACTCTTTTGGGGGTTGGGAAGAGGTCCAGAGCAAACCACTAACTCCTTCTCAATGCCTAGGATGTTTTGAAGCCAGAGATCTTGGCCTTATCCCTTCTGGTGCCACCTGTACAGAGACTCATGCCCTTCTTGAGGGGCCAGGTCAGTGTCACAAGCTGCTCACCTGTCTCGTCTCTGTGAGTCTCTATGTCTTTCCCCACCTCCTTAAACCCTCCCATGGCTCCCCAGCTGCCTGGAACCTAGAGCACCCCTCCCCACCCTTTGGAAGGAAGCCTCACAATGCCTTTCCTGGTGGCTTGGCAGAGGGGCATGACATCAAACCCAACTGTCAAGAACCTCTCAGGACTCAGGCTGTGTGACTGGGACTGGCCATACAGATTCATCCAACTGTTCTGGGTCCCCTGGGTTGGGGACCTCTCTCTGTAGGCCTTGTTGTCCCCTTCTCTGGGGGATGTCCTTCAAGAAGCCCCTGGGCCTTGAAGCCCTCATACTCTCTATTCCTCTTCCCTTCCCTCTGGGGCTGCGTCTCCCGAGCCCCCTGAGTGGGTCTCTCTCCTTTCTGCGTCTCCCCTGGTCCATGTTCTTCTCTCACAGCTGCTCTCCTGTCTCACCCCCATGAGTCTCAACGTCTCAGTGGCTTTGCCCACTTCCAAATCCTCTCTCCTCTCAGTTGGTGTCTCCTGCCATCTCTCTCCTGCACACCCCCACCCCCACCCATTCCTGTCTCTCCTGCCTCCGCCTTCCCCAAACCTCCAGGGAGTCACCTTGAGAACTTGAGAGAAAGCACGTGACCCAAGATGGGTACCCACAGGATGGGGGAGCCCAGGAAGGTGACCATGATGGGAGAAATCAGGGGTGCCAAGGCAGATGCTGTCTGTACGCCTGCTTCCTGCCCTCTGTTCTGGGGGGCAGGATACACAGTCTCATCTCAGAGAACAGGGCCCTTCAAGGGTGAAGGAGAATTTTTCTATCTGTGCCCTGCGTGTGCCTGGCACTAGCAACCCAGCTGCACTATGGGGTGTCTGGCAGCAATCCCCCAAAGAAGGCCTCCTGGGGGCTCAGACCACAGAGTCCACTTCAGCTGGGCCTCGGACTCCAGCCTGAGCCCAGAATCCCAAGCTTATTCTGCAGCTCCTTGCTGCCTCCTCCCACGCATGCCTGCCACCTG